GTTTTTCATTGTTTTATGACGTTCTAATCTTTTGGTTCTCAGCTCGTCTTTGGAAGCTGCTCTGGTGTCCAACAGGTGACTCACCTGCTGGATGTCGGCGTCCACGTCCTCCTCCATCGGGCTGGAACAAGCAGAGGGCGGCTTTAGAACATGGAGATGTTCTGATCCGATCTGAGAGAGCTCAAACACTGGGATCAAAGCCAATTAGGGTGTTTTCTAACTGATCCGTAGTCTACGTCTGCTGTCACACCTGGTTCTGACCCGGTGTTCTGGTTCTGACCTGGTGTTGTGGTTCTGACCTGGTGTTCTAGTTCTGACCCGGTGTTGTGGTTCTGACCCGGTGTTCTGGCTCTGACCTGGTCAAGTTCTGACCTGGTGTTGTGGTTCTGACCCGGTGTTCTGGCTCTGATCTGTTCTAGTTCTGACCCGGTTTTGTGGTTCTGACCTGGTCTAGTTCTGACCCGGTGTTCTGGCTCTGACCTTGTCTAGTTCTGACCTGGTGTTGTGGTTCTGACCCGGTGTTGTGGTTCTGACCTGCTGTGGGCCCGTTTCTCGGTGAACACTCTCAGGACGAAGCTTCCTCTGCGGTGCGGTTCGTAGGTGGACGGGACGATGACGAAGTCTCCCGGCGGCAGCTTGACCCGATCGCAGACCTCCCTCAGGTTGATGAAGGTCCGACTGCGGGCAGCCGGCGCCGACCTCAGCAGGACGTCCGGGCCCAGGTGCACGTTGGAGCGACCTTTGTACTGACCACAGAAGAAGATGGGTCGGACCTGCTGCAGCTCAACGGTTGAAAGTTTTCACTGCAGCAGCACAAAGTCCAGTTTTCATTCTGAAGCTATCGGACCGAACCGTGTGCTGACCCGGTTTCTCTACCAGTAGAATCAGTGTCAGGTGTCAAGTCTGATGATTAATTCGTAAAGTTCGTCGACCTTTAGAGGACGTATTCGTTAGCGGCCGTTTGTTTGGCCGACCCGTTTGGTACCTTGGTTCCGCTTCATATTTGTGTTTGTCAATAAAGATTCATTTCAGCCGTTTGCTCGACTCGACTGAGCCGTGACGGTTACCGCGGTGATGCACGTGTCAGACCTGAGACGTGGAACGTTGTGGTGGAGCTCACCTGATCAGGAACCTGCAAGAGAACAAATAGAGACGTGTAAAGAACTTCCTCAGTGGACACGAGAAGTTCTGTGTCTGCTGGAAGAGGTTCTGTGATCAGTGTTCCTCAGAGTGAACAGAGGAAACCAAGAAGAGAACATCTGCAACACAACGCTGCAGTCTGTTCTTCAGAACACGGAGGTGTTTGTGTTCGGACCTCGTACACAGAGAACCCGATGGTGTTGAGTTCTCGTCCAAAGCGCCGTTCCCTGCGAGCGTCTTTCTGCATGAGGCCGATCAGAACCGTGCAGCCGTCCTCGCCATCGTGAGGATCGTCGTCCACGTCCTGCAGCCGGATCAAGAACTGAGGGTTCGAGGAGAATGTGGCTGCAGAGACACAGGAGGGTCTGTCAGAACACATAGAACACTGGACCACCAGAACACAGAACACATAGAACACTGGACCACCAGAACACAGGTTTTGAGGTGTCCAGATGTCTAATGAGGTGTGTTTAGAAGTTCTAAAGGTTCTACAAGAGGTTTCACAGCTCTATATTAACGGGCGTGTTGTGGTTCAGAGGGTTCATCATAGAACCCTTTGGTTCTGGTACCAGGGTAGTTCCTGCAGCCGCCTGCGGTCGATCCGACCCTCCACACGCCTTCAAACTCAGCGTGGTTCCAGCGGCCGACGTGGTCGCTGGTCAGCGTGTCGGGCGTCAAGTTGCAGATGTCGAGGCGGGAAAAGTGCCGCAGGAAGTCGCGGTAGGACATCCTGCAGACAGACGACACGTTCTAACAAAGGAACACCAGGAACGGATCTCCAGCAACAGGCAGTGTTCACCAACCAGAACTCTCCGTCGTCAGCAGAGCGATCGAGCCGCCGGCGCTCCTCCGGCTGGACTCCGGTCCACTCTGGGGAGCTGAGGAGGAGAACCGAGTGAGAACCAACAGACACAAAGAACCACATAACACGAGACTAGAACAGAGTCTGGCTCAGAGGTCAGCTGTTCTCCTGTCAGAGACAAAGCTAGAAAACAGGCGAACACATGAAGAATGGGCTGAAACCAACACAAAACCAGTAAAACCAGTAAACCTGAAGAACCAAGTCCATGACTCACTCGTCGCTCCAGGCGCCAGTCCACTCCACCTGACCCCAGGGGTTCCTGATCCGGACCAGCTCCACCAGAGAACCCAAGTGATGAACCTGCAGAACCAAACACAGCTGTAAAGATCCAGCCGTCCGTACCGGATTACTTCCCAGAATGCCTCACCTGCTGGGCCGCCGTGATGGAGTAGGCGTGGCCTTTGACCAGCTTCTGACTCGTGATGGCCTCTGTGTCACGAGAGCTGGAAATCTGAGAAACATGAGAAACATCTAACCTCAGTGAAAGCTGACAGAGAACGTTCACCGCTAACGTTCACAGCTAACGTTTAACAGCTAACGTTCACAGTTAACGTTCACAGCTAACGTTCACAG